CCCGGAGGGGCGGGGGGCTGGGGTGTTTGTGCTGCCCGCCCGGCAGCCCCTTCCGCCGCGTTCATTCTGGAACGTAGGCCAAGCTGAAGTGGGAGCGGGGTGGAGGTGAAGGCTACTGGGGCGGAGGTTATTCCTCGAGCTGAGATTATAGGGCCCCTTGCCTGGTCCTCTCGACCCACATGGTCGCCCCAGAGGCGGCGGGGCGCGGACCCCTCTCTGCCACCCTCCTTCTTCTCAGAGAGCCCCTCCCCTTGGCCCTTGTAAATGCCCACGTTGGAATGTCGACCAGTTTCCAGAGCAGAGATCTGCACACAGGCCTGCAGGCTGGAGCGGCCTGGGCGGGGGTTCCCATGACTTGCAATCGACAAACCCCTTCCCAGAGGAGGGTCTCTGATTCATCCCGTGTCTCCAGTCCCCGCCCCAGGCGCCCCCCCCACCCCAGTTATTTTAATGGAATAAGGTAAAAGGCATCCCTGCCCCTCACCCTCAAGTCCTTCAATGAAGCTCATTTTAGAAATCCTGAAAAAAAAAAAAAAAAGCCTGGCGGTGGCGTAGCCTCACACGGCCGGGCGCGGCGAGAAGGGTGCCCTGGTTCTCTCCCGGTCCGCACCTTCATTCAGCCTCTGCGTGCACGCGCGCAAACCCTGGTCTCCAAGGCCTTCTATCAGACGCGCAAGGGAGATTACACCTTACACACTGCACGGTGGAAGTTAGCCGGCCCTACCGCCTCGCCGCGCTCTGCGTTTCCTCCCCAGAGACAACCATTACTACTAGTTTCTTGTGGTCATTTTAGAGATATTTTATGACACACATATAAACATATATTAAACTACCTTTTTTTAAACCAAGTGGAATTGTGCTACACGCAAGCCTCTGCGTTTGGGAGGAGGGTGAACAAATCTTTCTTGACTTCATTTATGGTTCCCATCATGCTAAACTTTGTCCCAATCATATACCATGTATTACTATCATTTAAAAAAACTATTCAAATTCTTTTACTGCGATATCTGTATCTATGTATGCCTCCCATCTTAAAAAAAATAAGTAAATAAAACATGAATCCTGTTATCTCGAAGGCTCTCTCTTACTCCTTCCTGCTCCCAGTCCCTGTTCACCCCAAGAGCGAACTGCAATCTTGAATGTTGTCTTAATCATTCTTGTGCTTTATTTTATAATTTTAGCAAATGGGTCTGCATCCCTAAACAACACATATGCCTACTGTAATTTTTACCAAAATGAAATAAAACTATATTCAACGGGTGAGAAATCCCGTTGCCACACACATAGTATCAGGGGTATTACTTTTACCGGTCCGATGGCGTGAAATGTCTTCTCATCGCCTGACTCCTGAGAGATTGTGTACCTTACTCATATTTTTGGCCATATATATTTCCTTTTCTGCATGTGCCCCAACATCTCAGTGCTGTTTTTGGAGAAGAACCCATCCTTTCCCCGTGGATGTGCATGCAGGGCCGGTTTTGTCAGAGGTCAAGTTTGATGGACACGAGGCTCTGTTTGGGGGCTTTCTGTTATGTTGTGTGGGTATAATATTTCATATCTGCTCCTGTACCACTGTCTTCATTATTACCTCTTTAGAGTAAGGACGATTCCCCCACCCCTCCCCCCACTGCGCTCTCCCACCCCAGCCTTCTGGGATTTCGAACAGAATTGCTTTGAACCTGTAGATTAACTGGGAGAGAACTGAGATTTTTGTACACTTCTACCCAAGAACACGGTTGGCCTTTCCATGTCCTTCGGTCTCCGAAAAAATGTTTTTCAACATTTTGCAATTTTTCGCTTCACTGTATAGCTTGTTCCATAGCTGCGTAGACGGGCTGTCATTTATCTTACGGGGCTTCCGATGGTGCCTTTCAGGATATCTGTGGCCTTTCTGCTTTACGGCAGTGCTTCGGGGCGTCTCCCTGGGCTTACTCATTTGGGCACAACTGTAAATATAACTATAGGACAAAGTCCTAGGAGAAAGACGGCCATGTCTAAGGGCGTTTGCGTCCTCCGGTGAGCAGACAGACTTGCGACAGGCTGTGCGGAGCCTTCGCTCTCCATGTCGTCCGCAGCCAGGCTTCCCTTCCCTGTCTTCTTCCCCTCCCCGGACACGCTGCCAGGGCCTTCTGCTGGAAACTCTCTCCTTCGTTTCTGTGGCTCTGCATAAAAGACTGAAAAGTCTTCGCCGTAGTCATTCATTCATGTGTTTACTCGTTCATTTGCTCGTTCGTTTCCTAGTCAAGTGCTTACAATCGTGCGGTCCACCAGGGGGCCCTCCCATTTTATTTTCTGAGCGAAACGTCGCCTAATCGTCCCTTCTGTGCCTTCTCTGTCTAACTGAAAGCACTGAGAAGGAATCTCCAAAACAGGGGTGTAAACATCGAGAGACGGAGAAACTGAGGCACGCAGCAGGAAATGGCTTGATTAGAGTCAGAAAGCACATCAATGGTAAAAACAGAGACAGCAGATATAGTTCCCTCTTCTCGACTGCCTGTCTTCGCGTCAAGATTGCAGAGGGGCTTCCGCGGAAAGGCGCCTCCTGCTCGGAGAGGGGTCTTCTCCAGGCATGAGGAGCGGAAGGCAGCAGATCGGCTCGTTCTGTCCTTGCCGCTGCCAGCGGCGACCCCCACCTGCCCAGAGCCTTCTCGTCCACGGGCACCGCCATCCAGGAGCAACGAGCGTGGGCCAGCAGCCAGGAGGCCGGGTCTGGCTGCCAAGTTTCCACCCCAGCTCCTTCTCCACATGTCCACAGAGACTCTCCCACCCCCACTCCTTGGCAGCGGGACCCTGCCATCTGAGCCTGCCTGTGGCTACCCTTTGGAATGGAATTCAAAAGTCTGCAATACCGGTCTCTGCCTTCGTGGGACGACTGGGCAGCCTGGCCCAAAATAGCCGGAGGAGGCAGAACATTAGGGCCACGGTGGGAAAAATCACAGTGCCGCTAAATGACAGGCTGTGCTTATCTGGAACCAGGCGTCTTACAGACTTTAACCGAGGTCACATGGTTTTCCGCAACGACGAGAAAACAGGCATCGTGGGGAGCGGTGACATGCCCAGGGAGCGAGAAGGAACTGGCACACCTGGGAGGACACGCAATGCGCTGCCTCCTGGGCATCATCCCCGGAGCGTGTCTCCCCCTGAGCCTCTGGGCTCGGCATCCCACCAGCTGCCCTTGTGTGAGAGTCTGAGAAGACTGATCCACTTGGGAATCTTCAGGAAGCCTTGGAGGGTTGGCCCGGACGTCCTTTGTGTAGGAGGTGTGAGCTCCTAGGGAATTTCAGGGCAGGGCTGGGCTCCTGGGAGCCCAAGAGAGAGCCTTCGGGGTGGGGGCCTCATCTGGTTGGCCCTGGCCTCTGACCTGTCACGTCATGGGGCTGATGAACTCTCCCCCAGGCACTGCTGCCGGCTTTGGGTTCTGATTTGTTAATGCTGGTGGTTGGGGGAGGGGGTTGTTTTGTTTTTTGGGAGTTGTTTTTTTTTTCCCCCAGGACTCCTGTCCTCGTGCGGTGAGGACTCTGTCCAACGAGATGATATTTGCTGAACTGGGAAGTTTCCGCCCTGGGCTGCGTGGGGGAGGCGCGGTGGCGGCCGCAGAAGAGAGCGGAGCCGTCCACGAGCCAAACTTCCCGTCCTTCTCCCTCGAAACGGGAAAGCGGTAAATGAAGTTGATGACAGAGCGCACTGGGGACCTGGCCAGGCCTGCGTTTCGGTGACATATTTCATTTCCTTTCCTGAAGGCTGACTCGCATTGTTCGGGAGCCTGGCCTTGGGGACTCTTCGCCCATTTGCCTTTTGGCTCAAGCCGTGGGCTGGGGCGACACTGCCCGAGCTGTTCGCGGACCTCAGTGCCCGTTCTCCAGAGCTTCCCACCCTCTGAGCCTGTCTCACATGAGCGCCTTGGGAAACCCTGGCTCTTTTTGCCACATTTAATACACCCCCCTCCCCCATGTCTGATTCAAGGAAAATGAGTAATCCCTTTTCTCGTCTCTTGGGAGATGTGGGGGCCCAACCCAGGAGGAAAGACGGGAAAAGACTGCACTTGCGATCGCAACGGTGGCTGTGCTCATCCTACCACTTCGAACGGGCCCCGTCGACCCTTGACCGACTGTGCGAGAGACCGCAGCCTCGTGATCCTTACCCCAAACCCCCGCATACAAAAAGCTCTCGCAACTCAGTTTTCCCCTAAATCTGCACACATGAGTTTGACAGAACAATGTGACTCGAACTGCGAGACGACGACGAATGGCCTTCGCGTGTCCCACCGCGGGCCGCGGACGGTGCAGGTATCTGGTGACGGGGCGGCATGCTCTACGTGTGATTTGCATCTCACTCCGAACACATCTGGTGCCACGCGGTCCAGATCAGAGAGCCGTGGCCCTCTCTCTGCTTTACAGGTTAGGGAACCGTCAGGCCCGCCGGGGCTGGGCAGCAGCCTGGAGCCGAGGACTTGGAGCCGCCCGGTGGAAGGGGCCGCCTGAGGAGACAGTCGTTATCGGCTGCATTTCCAGGGCTCTGCTCCGTCCTGGGCCTCCCAGCTCCTAACTGCCTTCTAGTTCTGACGGGGTGGCGGGAGGGAGCAAACTCGCCATCTCTACATCGTTTCTCTTCCAGGCCGTGTGCCCAGCTTCGTGTGCACCGGACTTCGGCATCGGTCCCAGTTCCCCAGACCCTCAGACGTCCTGGACGAAGGTCCCCCAGGGGCCGCGTGAAGATGTAGCCGACTTGCGTCCCTGGTTCTCCTGTTTGGTGACCTCAGTCTCCTGCTGCAAAGGCCGTCTGAGGACAGAACCCTGCGGGAAGGTCAGTCCCCGAGCTGGGCCTGGGTCCGGTTGCCGGGAAGGTCCTCGCGTCATGCACAGGAACAGAGACACTGAGCTTATCTCTGGGTTTTCCTGTGTAAGTCCGGCCAAGCCTCAGGCACGTGCCAGAGGCCGTGAGCAGCTCCCGAGCCTTCCAGCGTCAGCTGAAACAGCCTCTCCGCTGGGGACGCGGTTACCGCACCTTGCCAGAGCGCCTGCGAACTCTCCTGGGGCCACTCGGGACCTTTGCTCGCACAGTGGGGGGTGGCGGCTGGGTCTCCGCGGAGACACCACCCAGAGCCACCCTCTCCTTTCATCCCGCGCTCTCGGCCTGCCCCGGCGTGCCTGGTGGGCGCCCGGCGTGCCTGGTGGGTGCCCAGCGAGCATACGCCCTGCTCCCCTTTGATTCCTCAGACACATGGGGAGCAGAGGCGGGAAGAAAATTCCGAGGCAAGGCTTGGCCCCAAGCGCCCCAAACCAGCAACCCAGCCCCTCCGTCCTCCGTCCAGGCGTCACTAGAGGGAGGGGTCTTGGCGGAGGGATAAGGACAGGAGGAGGGCAGAAGGAGGGCAGGCCGATGTCCGAGTGGCTTGGGACATGGGGGCGGGGTTCCGGAAAGAAAGGCACAGAAAAGAAAGCCGTCATCGTCATCGTCACGCAGAGTTTGCTCCTCCGGCCAGATTGCTCCTTCCTTTCTCGGGATATGATAAGGTTCCAGAACAAGCCGGTCTGGCTCAGAGTGTGGGGACCAGCCTGGGGCTGCTCATCGGGTGTGAGCGGGGGGCCAAGGGACTCGTTTAGAAAGCACTTTCGTGTAAGATGGAGAAAATGCCCCATTCCCAGAACAAGGAATGAGACACACAAGGGCCGAAGTCCCTGCGGGCCCCACCTCTGCTTCTCACTGTCCCCTGGAAAATCTTCCCCAAACAGAGGTTCCCAGCCTTTGGCTCACGAAGCTATCGAAGAATCTGACCAAAGCGAGAGACCATCACTGTCCCAAATGCGCATGCGCACGCACGTGGGCACACGATTTCTCATTCTGGTTTGGGGGTTCACAGATTTCCCCAATCCCGTCCGAGGTCCCCAGACCCCAGGTGGAGATCCTGATGGATGTCTCAAGTCTGCCACCATCTGGGGACTTGCTCCCACGAAGTTGGCTACAGGTGCCCTTCGGCCCCTTGAATCCCATCCCCCCGCCACCAAGCAACTTGGGGTTCCCAAGGCTCCTCCTCGTCCTGGGCTCTCAGCCGCCCCCACCTCCGGGCAGACTTCCAGACATTCGGAGGGGCCACCCCGGTCCCAGCCTGGGCCGGCCCCCGGGGTGGCCGGGGGGAGGGCAGCGCTGGCCTTCCCTGCCCGCGGGCACACACACAGTTAATCCTCGGCGGCTGCTGTTTGGATAAAAATGTGCTGGGAGCATTCGAGGGAGGCTCGCGGCCGCTCACATCTGGCTGGGGTTCGCGCTCTGCGCTCGGTGCCTCTTTCCTCGGCCTTCCCTTACTTTGGAGAAACCGCGTTTCCGCTTCTGGCCAGAGAGACCTCGGAGCCGAGGAGATCAAGGTGCCCGGAAGGGACCGGCCGCTGCCCACGCCAGCCGCCCCCCTCCGCACCGCCTTCCCGGAGGACTTTCTCGGTCTTCCCCGCTCTCTCCTCCGACAAGTCTCTCCTTCCCCCGACCTGGCCCGGAGGACGCCCCGCTGCCGGGAGATGCTCTAAGAGGCGGTGCTGGGGGAGCCCGGAGGCCGTGGGGAGGACGCCGGCTGGAGGTAGGTGGCCGGGCGGTGACACAGCCGCCGGGCGGGCGGGACCCAGCGGTGTCCCGGCCCCGTCCCGTCCCGTGCACGGTGGAGCCAGCGGACACCTTAGCTGCCGCCGGGCGGGGCGGGGAGCCAGGGGGAGGGGCCCGGGCGGCGGTTGTGGGAAGGGGCAGAGGAGCAGCAGAGGGGCCAAGGTGCCCATCCCTGCGACCCCCTCCTCCAGCGGAGGCGCCAGGGAGGCCGGTCCCGACGCCGCTGTGACCTGGGAGCGGGGGTCAGGAACAGCTGGGCCTCCTCCCGTGTTTCGTGCGGTGCTGACCTTGCTCCACTCTTCCCTGGTGCTTTTCTGAGGGCGGGAAGGAAAAGTCCCCTCTGCACCTCTGGGGAGCCCCCACCCCGATACCGCCCGGACCACCTGCGAGCCAGGTCCGTCCAGGCCCCTGTGGCCGGCTTGGCCCCCTGCACGGAACAGGAAATGCTGACTTGGGCCCTGGTATCTAATGGCCTTGGTGTTCCTGAAGGGGATCCGGCCTGGATAAGGAAGAAAATGACCCTTTCCTGGGGACCCTCCTAGTGGCCCACACTGCTGAGAGTGACCCTCTGGTCTGGGGCCGAGCCCCTGGACTGCCCACGCCTCTCTGTGTGGACACCCCACATACCACCCAGCTCTTCCAGGCATGTCCACGTCGTGGGTATGTCCCCCGCCTGTCCTGGTGACCTATACCGTGTTCGCCATGCCAGCCCCCAGGCAGCTCCTGCCATGGGCCCTCCCGGGCCCTCGGGGTGCTCTGGAAGAGACAGAGAGAGCCGCCCCCTGGGACTTGTTCTGTATCACTCAGTGTCTGAGGGTGGAGCCCCCTCCTTCCAGGCTTTGAACATGAGGAAAATCCTGAGAAAGCGAGTTTTCTCAACTGCCAGCTCTATCCTGGGTCCCCGGTGGGGGGAGGATGTGAGGTCCTCAGAGGCTGCTGGCCTTCGCTTTTTATAGTGCGGGAAAGCTCACAGCCGGCCCCGTGTGCAAGGTCACAAACAGATGCGCTCACCCACTGTGCTCTGGGGAGGCTTGCTGTGGCCAGGACGCTCCTTCTTTCTGACGCCTGCTCAATGCTCCCGCAGACGAGAGAGGAGGGACACGGCGCAGGTGAAGGGACATGGCGGGGCACAAGGTTGAGTGGTCCCCCCCACTCTGCCTCTTGACCTGAGAGCTGAGTGGCACCTAGCCGCGGATGTGCGTGCGTGCGTGTCTGTGTGCGCACGTACGTGTGTGTGCGTGCACGCGTTACATGCACAACAGGCCCCAACCAAAACATTATTTCTCGGACCTGAGAGCTGAGTGGCACCTAGCCGCGGATGTGTGTGCGTGCGTGTCTGTGTGCGCACGTACGTGTGCGTGCACGCGTTACATGCACGACAGGCCCCAACCAAAACATTATTTCTCAACAATTCTATCAATGGCACTTTCAGCCCTTAAAAGCTTGGAGAGGGTCAGAGGCAGTAGATGGAGGACCTGAGACTCAGCCCCGCGTCTCTGTGCCCAGAGAGGGCATGTGCCTCGCCCGAGAACGCACAGCTCTCCACGCTGAGGCCGGAGCCCCGAGCTTCTCACGTTCCCACGTTTTCGCTTCCCAGTCGCCCACAGGGAAAGGCCATGTTCTGTTCCCCAGGGACGTCCGCCCTCCGCTCCTGCCCCTTTCTCCTCCTCCCCCCATCTCAGTCTCTGCGATGCAAGGAAGGTGCTCGCGAGCATCAGGCCAGGGGCACGGAGACCCCCAGCAGGTCCTGGGGGGCCCCCGTTCGCCAGAGGGCCAGTGAGACATGGGTGGGGGCTGAGGAGGCCAACGTGGCCCCAAGGCCGACGTGGCACGGGCGCCTCGCTTCCGGGACAGAAGCTGCCTATGCAGGACACCCAGCACAGCGTGAATTTTTGGGACATGCTTCTTTCTCTTGTTCTTCCTGGTGCCTCTCGCCCTCGGCCCCCCCAGCCGTAATTAGCATGACTCACAAACCAAATATTCTGGCATTGAACTTCACCCATCAAAACAAAGATGAAAAGAATTTCGTAGATACAGTTGTGCTGCTGAGCGTCTTCCCTTGAGCATGAAGTTGCCACCGCACTTCTGTCTTCCAGGGCTGGCCCCTTCTGCATGTCTCTGGTCCTAGAGCTGGGGGCGGCCGAGGCTCTGGAGCCTTGGGGGAGGGGAGGGGGTGACGACTCAGGAAGAATAGAAAGGTCCCAGGTCCCTAGCTCTGCTGACTGCCTGGGGCGACTCTGCCTGCCATCCACCCGAGAAAGAAGCGCAGCCTCATTGCCCCGCCCTGGGAACCCAGAGACATTTCATTGGGGGTGATGGCCTTCCGGGGGGCTGCGCCTTGGTGGCTTAACCACTGTGTGGGCCGAGGGTTATTATATTTTTCCTGTTTCTACTGGCTGAGATCGACTTAAAGTCAAATGAGACAAGGCGGCTCCCTGGACAAGACCGCGGGGCATCTCCCTGACCCCTCTACAGCGAGGAACCCTCTGCCCACTTAGAGACCCACTGAAGCCTGTACAAAGTGCTTCCTTTCACGGTGCAGCCCAGAGAGCGGGTCCCATGAGGCCCGGGAGTGGGGATTCCCGGGGTCCTGCCCAGGGCTCTGTGCTGGGTCCACAGATGTGCAGAAGTGGGGAGCACTGGTTCCTCCTCTCCTCCCCGAGCCTCACAGCGAAACTCCTGTGGATGCAGCCCGTGCCCTCTGACCCTCGTCTTCCTGCCTCTCGGGGACGGGCTCGGTGATGTGAGCAGGAGCGTGGGCCTTCGAGCCCTGTGGAGGACATTGCATCTGTGGGTCCTCATCGAGGCCACAGCTGAGAGGCACCTGTGACATGGGAGACGTGTGGCTCCCGGCACCCTGCTACGCATCTCAGTCTGACCTGTGCTCGCCTTCCAGACCTGAGCTCAAATCAGGATGGCCGTGGGCAAGGGCACTGGAGGCCCCCAGGGGCGTCCGTGGCCTGCCTTGGGGGGCCCTGGAATCAACCCCTTCTCCAGTTGTGGACGGGACTGGCACAGTCCTACTGAGGCGTCTGCCCTGTCCGGGACGGCTGTCGGGACGGCTGTGGGCCGGGCTGGGCTGGTGTCTGACCATCTCTCTGGCTCGTACAGGAATTTTCCTTGAAACCAGACAGCCGAGCAGGAGGCTGCAGGCAGGGAAGACGGGAAGAGACGCAGACAGGCGGGTGGGCAGCGGGGGAGCTGGGGGCATGGCGAAAGCAGGTTCTCGGGGCCTCGTGCTGGGTCCAGTGATGCTGCCGGCCACTGGTAAAGCCACACTTGGTGGAATGTCCCAAAGCCTTCTTCTTGGGTTGCACTCCCACCTCAAGTGGGGACACCTGGTTACCAGCCACCCCCTGCCCTGGGAAGCCGTCAGCCCTGGTGGACTTGCAGGCGGTGCGGGCGGGAAGTCAGGCGGGGTTGGGCCCTGTGAACCTGCTCTGCAGGCTTCTGGGGCTTCGGAGTTGGGGACTGGGCTATGGTTGGAAATGCGAGGGCCCTTTCTCTTTGTGAAGAGTCTCAAGTGGGTTCTGGTGAGGGAGGGGTGGGTCTGGGCGGGTTTGGGGGTGGCCTGGAACTCCCCTCCCCCGGGAAGGTGCAGCTGTGAGAGCAGGACCCCCCATTCTGCAAGTTGGCGTAGGTCCTGGCTGCAGGAGACTCTGAGGAAGACACTTGCGGGCCGGGCAGAGCCAGGCCGGGCCGCTGGGGAGATGGGCCGGGGTCCGGCGCCTGTCCTCTGCCTTTCTGTCCCTTCTGTCCTCCCCTCCCGTGTTCTCCTGCAGGGCCCCCTCCAGGGGGTGCACCTAAGCAGACCCCCAGGCCGTGTCCCCACTGGCTTACCCAGCAGAGGGCGCTGCCACCGTCACACCATGCGGACGACCCCCCCTTCCTTCAGAGTTCACTAATTTAGGTTTCTCTGCACCCCGCAAAAGCAGTACCCCCCAAAGCGCACATTCAGTAGCCACACCGCCCAAGCCCTTTACATTTTGTGGTGTGAGGGGGTGTTTGTATGAGGTGCGCCTCAATCCCAAGGAATTAAGCTCCAGTGGTGGATTTTAAGATGCAGTCAGCCTGGTCCCCCTGGAAAGCTGTTAGCTTCTTGCTTCAATGAGGACAGTTCCCATGGATCCCCAGTGCCCCAGGCCATGCCTGGGAGAGAGTCGGCACTCAGTAACCTGTTAAATGAATGAATGGATGGATGGATGGATGGATGGATGGATGGATGAATAAATGAATGAATAGATGAATGGATGAATGCATGCAAGGACCTAGCCGGTGGGTGAGTCCCTCAGAGCCGAATGCTGCGGGTGCTGTTCCAGGTACAATCAGGTAGGCTAGGCAGGTGGACGCCCAGCGGCCAGGAGGGCCCGCTGGACCGCGGGCTGGCTGGGTGAGCCTATCTTCGCTGCCAGTTTTCTGGAACCCCTTGAGGTGAAGTAGATGACACTTTGCTGTCCAACACCCCTGGGTCTCACTGAGCTCCAGCCCCCACACCCCCACCACTGTGGGGCTTGGGGTCGGGGCCCCTTCACTCCGAGCTCGTTTGCTCATCAGAGAAGCCGAGACAGAGCTCAAGCTCAATAGGGAACGCAGAGCCAGAGGTTCATTGGAAGGAGCCTCTGACACACGGTGGCACTGCCCCTGGGCTGTAACATGCAGCCATTATGCAGAAGTCCTGGTGACGGGGTCAAGGCTTTGGGTCCTGACCTTGTCTCATGGCCGCAGGCAGCCTCCTCCAGCAGCGAGCGCCACCGACGAGCGGTGTGTCAGAGACAGGACAAACGCCCCTCCTTCTGGAAAACATGCTCTCTCTGGATGGCCAGGTTCTAGTCCGGGCTCGGTGGCCTTCCCCGGCCTAAGTGGCGTCCACAGCGACGCCAGGGCTTCCGCTGCCCCGGGCCTGTCTTCCTGTTCTGTGTGTCTCTAGAACCCAGCCTTCCGCTCGGTCCATAGTAGACACTCAATAAACACTCGTGA